GAAGATCAAAGTGTCTGTCTCTGCTGGAACAAACAGGAGAGAAGATCCAGCTCTTAGGTGGCTTTTGCTGAAATGTTCTATTTGTCTAGCAGTGATTTGTACCAGCTCACGTGAACTAGGCTGCCCTTGGTCTCTGTGCAGATTACACGCCATTTCCTCTCCCGGGCTGCTAAGTAATTCTTCGCGGATTACTCCCCCGCCGCCCCCCAACTTCTGCCGGCTCCCCCAAGGATCGGCCACATCTGCTTCCACTTTAGGTGCTGCGGGTCGGCCACTGGCCCGCGTGTCAAGCTCTTCCGGCTGCAGCTGCGATCTTCGCCAGCAGGTGAAGAAGACGTTCATACCTTGGGTTTTGTTACCAAGCAACAGCGTTCCATTTGCCAATTGCCACCATTTCCTTCTCGCAGTATTACAGGCCTTATTATTAACATTTAGTTCAGAGCAATTGCTGTCATTATGTGAAGTAACTTCCTTTAGAGGTTATTCATTAACCTTAGGTATTTTACTGTGTAATTATAATTGCCAAGTGCCGCAGGCTTGGAAAACCTTTGAACTCCTCAAGGTATTAAGGGATGGCAGAAAGGATATTATCTGATTTTTCTTCCTCTTCCAGTTAAGGTTTAATCTGGACGGTGCCCCATTTCCCCTGCAGAGGTGTCTGCCTTCCTGCAGGCTGAGCTCAGCTGTCCCCTTCTTCCTGATTACTGAGTGCAACCCGAGGAGAAACCAGGGTCGTGGGGCTCTGATCTCCCCAAACGCCTGGAGACCAGAGTGAAACTGTGCCCCCTCCGCTTGAAGGACGGATCACGAGGACAAGGGAAGCCCCACGTGGCCGGTAATGGTTGGCATGCATACTCGTGCATCCGAGGGGCTCTGTGCACAATGCCTGGGATTGTATATTGTGTGCAGCCTTGTTTTGACACAGCGGAAGACCGTCATCCACTTGCTCACTCGATGGCTCTATAAAAGCACATTTTTCACTCCCAGGCTTTCAGGAGCCAGGTGTGCCTCCCATAATGCGCCTATTATACCGCTATGCTCAGTGGCCAGTGCTCAGACAATGACCCTTGTGATTTGCCCCACTGCGATGCGGTTGCCAGGGACTTGGGGGGTCTCAGTGCAACTTCAAGTTATGCATTTCACATATATTTGTAGGCAAAAAGAAAAAAAAGAAAGCAGCATTCTCCTGTCTTTGTTTCAGACGCACAAAAGTAGCTGGCAGTTCACCCTCTCCACGCCCGCCCCCAACTACCTGCGCCTGCAGCAGGACGCCCTAAAAAAGGAAACCTGTTTTCCTCCTCCCGGGTTTCTGGCTTCTCCACCCAGTTTCCCCGCGCCCCTCCACGGCCCGCACCTCCACCCAGGCTCTGCAGCGGCGTGGCATTCCGGGTAACCCGATCCCCTAGTCGGGATAGGCGGCGGCTGCAGCCGCAGCCAAGGGGAGGCGCGGCCACGTGACCCTGCCTGCCCGCTGCGGGGAAACGCATACCTACCTAGCTAGGAAAACTAGGGGACGGGTGAGCCCGGAGCGCGCTCGCGAGGCTTGCACCCTGCAAACAAGTATTTACGAAAAGGGCGCTTGCTGGCTGCCTCAGCCAGCTATCACTTTGATCATCCTAAATGACAAGGCACGGTTGGCCGTGGGGTTTTATGGCGTGAGCCGAGCTGCAAGACAAAGGCAGCGCCATCCCGGGGAGGAATAGGCGGAGCGGGTTTTATGGGAGCAGCGGCACAAGTCTGGACGCGGAGTCTCGGCGCGGGGAGGGCAGGGCCGTGCTGCCAGGAGCCCGAGCTGCCAGCTGCAGGCCTCGCCTGGGCCGCCCAGCCCTCTGCCCCGTTTCCCTGGCTCTCTCGGGGGGCCCCCTTTCTCTCTTGACAGCTTTCTTCTTTGATCTGGGAGCTGGGGGGCGGGTGGGGGCGCGTTGGGGGACACTTTGATATCCTTTAAAAGACACGAGGATTTGCTGCTTTCTCGCCAAATGAAGGGCTCGGAGGGCGTTTCTTTGAGAACTGGAAGGAACATGCTGTCACATGTAATCTAATGAGCTAGCCTTCGTTTCCAGTGCCCATTAACCAATCAGCCAACACTTCCACAGCATCCAGTGTGAGTGCTGGGTGCTGCAGGGAAGTCAGGCTATGGACAGGTTCAGCTGGCACGCGGGATATGTGAGTTTAAGCCGTGATGGTAGCCAACATTTACAGCCTTCTTCCCACGTGCCAGACTCTGGTGGCCCCTTCCTGCCTATAGCCCCCCAGCCAGCAGACACCGTATTACCTAGTTTTACAGACCCTTAAGAGCGGTCAGTTGCCCCAGGGCACAGAGTGTGCAGGACCGGCCCCTCCAGGGGAGCCAGCTGTGCTTGCCAGGGTGGCCCTGTTAGCACCCACGGAAGGTGAGTGGCGGCTTGCATTCCCCCCAGCTCTCCTGGCTGTGCCCTCCCCTGGGAACTCCAGGACACTGCCAGAGGTCACCCAGGAGTGCCTTCTCTACCACCCCGTCCCTACACCAGCTCTGCTCTCAGCATTCACACCCAGGCTCGTTTCTTTTTTCTTTTTTTTTTTTTTTTTTTGACAGGCAGAGTGGACAGTGAGAGAGAGAGACAGAGAGAAAGGTCTTCCTTTGCCGTTGGTTCACCCTCCAATGGCCGCCGCTGCAGCCGGCGCACCGCGCTGATCCGATGGCAGGAGCCAGGATCCAGGTGCTTTTCCTGGTCTCCCATGGGGTGCAGGGCCCAAGCACCTGGGCCATCCTCCATTGCACTCCCTGGCCATAGCAGAGAGCTGGCCTGGAAGAGGGGCAACCGGGACAGAATCCGGCGCCCCAACCGGGACTAGAACCCGGTGTGCCGGCGCCGCAAGGTGGAGGATTAGCCTATTGAGCCACGGCGCCGGCCCCAGGCTCGTTTCTAACATGGGTCTTGTGCCTGCACTTTGCCCTGGCTTCTGTGGTGTTATCCAAGTAGACAGGAGAGACCTCATGGAAAACAGTTACCTCCGTAAAGCAGACTTCACCTTGGCGGAGTGGGGCTCGGTAGCCGCTCCATCCCGCCCTCTAACGTTCCCCAAGCGCCAGCAGGTAGCCCCGGTACCCCCAGGGCAGTCTGACAGGATGGGCGTCTTCCACTCAGCTTGCCACATATGATCGTTGAACTCCCTCATGATGACTAAAGACCAAACAGAGTGTGGTTTTCCCAGGTAAGCCAACATTTTGATATTTTTTAATAGTGTGCAAGACCAGCCAATAGGATTTTATGAGTATCATGGGGAGACACATCCTTTGACCTGGTGTATAATCTCACTTCTCTGGACGCTGGGCTAATTACCGCAGCTCCCTTGGGCATGGGTCTGAATGGAAAATGGTCTGGTGTTAGGAAAATTCCGGGTTGGAAGGAATTAACTCCAGGATGCTGTTCTTTGTGTGGAGTCCCTAGTCAGCCTGGTTGGCGGGGATTGGGAGGCCTGGAAATCCTTGTTTAGTGTAAACCCTTCTGGTAACTCCAAATCTGGGTACCTGAAGACTTGTTACTTGGCTTTGTTTCTATCAAGCACCTCTGTTTGCGTCCCTTCTTGCGTAAAAACAATGGAAAGGACAGACTGGGCACTGGGAACCCTGGATTATGGTTCTGGGCCTGCTACTAATAAGTCACACCAATCCCCCAACCCCCTTGTGAGCGTTCGTTTTCTCATCTGAACGTAAACTGAGCACTAGGACTAGGCTGGTAGTCTTCTAATCAGGACAGCTCAGCCTTTTATGTCTGACTTAGTGGAGTGTTGTGTAAGGCATTTAGGTAAAAACAGAAAGGGGAATTCAGTGGAAAAACCCCCTGTGACCCCTGCTCCAGAGGCTGGCTGAGCTCCCCTTCCTCTTTAGTTCCAACCATCATCCATGGTTCTTGTACACATGTTAGTGATGGCCAGGCAGCTTGGGACTCACAGCTGTCTACTTTGGGTTATGAAGTGTGTGAGGGAAGGCAGTAGAAGACAAGACTGGAAATAAGGTTTAAGTCCAGATTCCAGATCGCCGTGGGTGCTAGGCCAAGAAGTCAGGACATTGTTTCACTGGAATTCCCAAGCCATCAATGATTTTTGAAGGAAAAATGTGGTCACTTATGATTTGCTTGCAGCTGTGAAAAACAGAGACTAGTGGCTGAAGTACCAAGAGTTATTTCCTCCTGTAAGAGGCTCTGGGGATGACAGTTCCGAGCAGGTGTGCGAGCTCCATGCGGTCATCAGGGATGCAGCTTTCTCCTATTTTCTTCTTTTCTGTTCTAATGAAACAGGCCTTCCTCTTCACGGTCACCTCCTGGTCTGGAATGGTGGCTGGATGCCACCCACCACACTTGCTTTGCAGGCTAGGGGACAGAGTGGGAAGAGGGGCAGGCATCCCAGGCGACGCAGGCCCACAGCTCACTTCTTTTGCATCTTACTGACCAGAGCTATGGCATATGGAGACTTTATTCTGGGCAGTGATGTGACCAGCTAAAATTGAGATTTCTCTTCTAGGAAAAAGAAGGGAAATGGCGAGGCAGCTATGTGAAAGGAATGGACCTCTGCCCTGGCTTCATTTGTCCAGGGCAGCCGTTGGGAAACTGGGCTAGCAGGAAGGTTGAGGGCCTGAATTGGAGTGCCCCAGGCAAGATGAGGAGGGCACCAAAGGGAGACTTACTGCAGAGGGAGGCCAGAAGCCCTCTCCAGGCTGGATGGCATTTGGGCACCTGGGAGAGGCAGTGTGCAGAGATCAGACCTCATCTGGGAACCACATGGAAGGGATCCTGGTGATGCTATTGACTAAAATAAGGAGAAGAAGTGTCGGGAAAGGACATGAATTAGGTTTTGGCCATGTTGAGTTTATTCAGTAGACTAGGGCTTCGGGAATTTTGCACAAGGGCACTTCAAAAAAAAAAAAAGTCTGCTGAAAAATGGAATTAAAAGTTTATTTTGATGCAAAAAAATTGAAATCCATGCATAGTTTTTTCATAATATGTATTCTGCACGAACTTTTTGAAGACCCCTTGTATCGAACTTTTCCAAGTGAATATTAAGTTCACCTGTTTCTTTTTTATCTTAAAGTCTAGGGTGTCCTCATATCTCAGACGCTTTTGGAGCTTTGTGAGTCATTTTGTAGGGGCCTCTGTTAAGTTAGGATGGAGGCAACACGGTATCTTCTTCTCTTCTCTGCTATACTCCACCTACATAGTGTCTCCCTCCCCCTAACCCCGCTGGGCTTAAGGATCCTGACAGTTATGACCAAGACATGCTCCAGGAAAACGCACATTTCTTAAAGGGACTTTTGCCCCGAATCTCTAGCTGGGATTCTACCTTAGTGTGCACACTGGACAATGCACAACACTCTCGGATTCTGCCCGGTTCAGGGCATTTCTTGGAAGCACAGTTCCTTATTTCCCTTTTGCTGTGAGCCTCAATGTGGCCTGGCTTGATCTCTCCTGCTTTGGACTCATTGGCAGAGTGGAATGGACAAAGTGGGGGCTGCCCCTACATCCAGCAAGGGTGTAAGTAAAGAATCATCAGCAGAATCTTTGGGTCTGAGAGCAAAGCTTACAGTGAAAATATGAAGTGAGTGCCCAAACTGAATGGAAGTGGACACAGACAGCGAGGTTAAAGTGAAGGTAATCAAGACATGAAGAAGCAAGGCAAGGGGTGATGAGCCTAGATGGCAGAATTAATTAATTATACAAATCTTTATTTAGTTTATTTGAAAGACAGAGATACAGAAAGAGAAATCTCCCATCCACTGATTCACTCCCCAAATACCAAAACAGCCAGGGCTGGGCCAGGCCAAAGTTGGAAATTGAGAATTCACACCTGGGATTCCCACGTGAGTGGCAGGGACCCAAGTACTTGAGCATTACCTGCTGTCTCCCAGCGTGCACATGAGCAGGAAGCTGGACTCGAGAGTGGAGGTGGGACTTGAACCCACTTTGATATGGGATGCAGCGTCCCAAGCGGTGACTTAACCCCCGTGCCTAAGCCCAGCCCTGGTAGTAGGATGTAAATCCTTGAGCTCAGGGCATTATGGAGATTGTTTCCAGTGCTTCTTGCCTTAAAAGAGACAACCTGGGTCATATAATTGTGAACAAAGGACTCAAAAAAGACATGTGCAGTGAGAGAAGAGAGAGTGACCTCCCTCCAGCCTGTGCAGAATGCCGGATGCTAGTTACTGGTGGGCCTCACGGTCAGAACCAGGCTGGATGGCGTTCCCTGTTCCCTTCAGAATCATGAAGGCATTGTTCTGTTGGCCTGCGGCAGCAAGAGCTGATGCTGGGAAGGATAGCGATCCTGACTGCTATTCCTTTGCCTTTCTTTTTTTAAAAGCCATTTATTTGAAAGGAGAGCAACAGAGAGAGGGAGAGACAGAGAGACAAAGGTCTTCCAGCGGCTGGTTCACTCTCCAATCAGCTGCAACAGCCAGGGCTGAGTCAGGCCAAGGCCAGGAGCCAGGAACTCCATCTGGGTCTCCCACGTGGGTGGCAGGAGCCCAAGCACCTGACCATCTTTTGCTGCCTTCTCAGGCACATTAGCATGGAGCTGGATTGGAAGAAGAGTAGCCGGGACTCAAACCAGCACTCTGATATGGGGTGCCGGCATGATCTCAAGCGCTTTAACCCGCTGTGCCACGAGTTCCTTATTTATGGCCTTTTTTGTTTTTCTAAAAGTTTTGGGAGTCTCCCTAGTCTGGTGTGGAATGCTTTTTGGCAGACGCCTTGTGTCATTCAGTGTGCTGCTCCCTTAATGGGCCCTCACCCATGCCCTTCAGGAGTGGGGAATCTCTCACGTCATTTCATTGACCATTTCCGCCTTGTGACAGGCTCTGTTCTCTCTGGAAACCCTATTAGTCACATGCTGGATTTTTTGGATATCTTTTTTTCTCCAAATTCTCATCCCTTTACTGTTAAAGTTGGGATTGTAATATAGCTTTCTTTATAAGACAATTAATTTTTTTAAAAAAATTGTCTTACGTTTCATATTTGTCCCCTCCTGTCATCAAGAAGGTGGTCAAGTCTAATGAGTGGAGACGAGATCGGGAAGGCATTTTGGCATTGAGACTCAGCTCTGTTGAGAAAGCCTGTGTTTACCCGCACTTGCAGTTGGTAATCACCCACATGGCCCTGGTCATCTGTGTGATCTGACATGGCTGAAGTTCAATGGCTCCTTGGATTCAGAATGGGAGTGGTGGCCCAGGGTGCACATTAGCAAGAAGCCAGATCTGAAGCAGAGCCAGGACTCCAGCCAGGCACTTGGGGCAGGTGTCTTTTTTTTATTTTTTAAGATTGATTAATTAATTGAAAGTCAGAGTTACACAGAGAGAGGACGAGACGGGGGGGGGGGGGAGGTCTTCCATCTGCTGGTTCACTCTCCAATTAGCCTCAATGGCCCAGAGCAGTGCAAATCCAAAGCCAGGAGCCAGGAGCTTCTTCCAGGTCTCCCACAGTGGGTGCAGGGGTGCAAGGACTTGGGCCATTTTCTACTGCTTTCCCAGGCCATAGCAGTGAGCTGGATCGGAAGAGGAGCAGCCAGGTCTCGAACCAGCGCCCATATGGGATGCCGGCGCTTCAGGACAGGGTGTTAACCCCCTGCACCACAGCGCCGGCCCATGGGCTGCAGGTGTCTTAACTGCTGTACCGAATGCTCACCCCAAGTTTGGAGTTTAGTCAGTGATGTAAATGGAAGCAGCAGGTGATGACAAATGAGTGACTTGTTTCCAGTGGACAAAGGGTGATTTTAGTTGTGCATAGATCCTGATGATTTCAGTTGTCTGTCTCCAGGCAGCCAACTACTTGTATCTCTTGAGTGAAGCTATGTTGCACAATGACAGGTGCATTCAGCTGAGTTTTAGAATACTTCTGCTAGAATATCAAATCAGCAAAATAACAACTTAAGAATGCTGACTTGTGTACTGTATTTTTCATAGAAATTGAGAATTCAACAGTATAAACTCAAATCATTGTGAGTGATCCTCCTCTCTATTGAACCTGTCTTTGCTATGTAGAGTCAAGGCCTGGTCAGAGTTCTCCTGGCTTTGCCCTCCCTGTGGCTTTGGCTTTGGCCTCTACCTACTCCCAACTCCTTAGCAAACAAACTCCCCCTGTAATTCGGGACAACTACTGCACTCGTAGGTCTTCTGTGTCTGAGGTCACCGCCTGCTGCCTTTCTTGCCTCTCTGCTTCACCCTTCCTGATTGCTGTTCTCCCTCTTACTCTCTAACCTTCGGCAAAATTTGTGGATACCTAGCATCAGAATCACCTGGGACCTGATGAGGCTACTGCATCAGAGCATCTAGATGGGCCGGTGCCGTGACTGCAGAGGTAAAGCCCCGGTCTGCAGCACTGGCATCCCAAATGGGCGCCGGTTCTAGTCCCGGCTGCTCCACTTCGATCCAGCTCTCTGCTATGGGAAAGCAGTGGAGGATGGCCCAAGTCCTTGGGCCCCTGCACCGGCATTGGGAGACCCGGAAGAAGCTCCTGGCTCCTGGCTTTGGATTGGTGCAGCTTCGGCCATTGTGGCCATCTGCAGAGTGAACCAGAGGATGGAAGACTCTCTCTCTCTCTCTCTCTGCCTCTGTAACTCTGCCTTTCAAATAAATAAGTCAATCTTAAAAAAATAAAGAACATCTAGAGTGAGTAGGGGCAGTGGAGGTTCTGCCTGTTGTTCAGGTGCTCCTGGGCACCCCATGCTCACCAGCATTTAAGACATACCGTTCTGTTTCCAGAGGACCATCAGGCTCGCTTCTGGTTTCCACATGGCACCATCCTTCAGCCTTTCCTTGGAGAGATTATGCCTGGCAGGCGTCATTCTCCTTCCACCTGGAGAGTCCCCTCCTGCTCTCCCCTCTTCTCTAGCATCTGCTCTCGTCTCTCGAGTGAATCTCCTGTGTGCTGGGTGTGACCACTCACATTTGCCTTCTATTTGAATGACACCTTGGTGTTTTTCTATCAGGTTTTTTTTTTGTGATCCAGGAGAGAGTCTATGGTGGATGTGTGTGATGGGACTTACTTTGTTGGGATAATTGTGATAGAGGCATACTAAATGTCCATGGGTGAGAGAATGACTCCCTTGGACATGCTATCTTTGTAGACTTCCCGTGAATCCTGGGTTTGCTCTTTCTCTCCCATTGCTTCTCCTAGAATCACTGGGAGGTAGGAGAGGGGGACACAAATGGTAAATTCTGCCTGAGAGTCCTGCATTAACAATAAAAGGAGAAAACAGGTGGGAACCATGTTACAATGTTACAATGTGACAGGGCTGACCAGGAGTGCTGGAAAATGAGACTTTAGCAGATAGCAGCTTTTTTTTTGAATTGAGTGGTGTTCATTGACTGCTGATAATTGCAGAACTGGGTCAGTCGGAGGTCAGCGAGGCAGGCAGTGGGGGAAGCTGTGGGCTGAGGGAGGGAACAAGCAGCTCCACCAATATGTGGGGCTTTAAAAACAGGCTTGGGAAATGTTATGAAATGATCAGAAGAGTAAGGAGATCACTGCTGTGTTGACACTTTGCATATGAAACCATGCAAAGCTTGTAGGAAACAAACCCGTGAGGAGCAAGCAGTTAAAATAATTGCACATTAAGAGAGTTAGGTCACTGCCCACAGATCTGGCTCCCGAAGCGCCCAGCCCTTCCTCCTACCGGCCGGCTGGCCCCTCCCCTTCACAGGTTCATGACAGATCCCTGAGGGATGTGTGGCTTCCTCCTAGGAGCTCCCACTGCAGCTGCGAGAGAGACTTGTTTCTCCAGCTGTCTAACCTTTAGTTTTATCTGCCTCTCGTTGACCTCTTCCTAGTTTTATAATGAGTCTGTTTATTTGCTTGTGCAAATGGAGTTTTCTTAGAGAGACACAGACCAGAGCTAGAAAGACGCCAGTGTTTTGATTGTTTCCTCCTCCCCGGAAGAAACCCATAGCGAGCCGTGCACTGTGGGGTTGTCCATTGTGTGACTGTGCCTGTGGTTGGTTTATTTTAAGATTGTGCAGGGCAGCCTGGTGGGCAGAGAGAGAGCCTCTCCCTTGTCGGTGGTGGAAGTATCTGCGGGGGTTTACAAGCTAATTACTTGTCAATTCCTGGGTGTTCTAAGTGTTTGCTTAGCAACTGGCCTGACCAGTCCCTCCTCAACCGTGCCCCCAACACTACTACACTTACTGGTGGGCTTGATGGAGCCCTTTAGGAACTAAACAAGGATTAAGCATTTTCTGCAAGTGGTGCCAGTCTTTTCCTCGATGGGACCTGAGCCTGCAATGCAGGCCAACAGAACGAGGGAGAACAAGCCAAAGAAAACCTTTTTAAGAAACAACACAGGCAGTAGGAAATCATACTGGTCAGGGCTTGTTTTCCTGGCTCGACGCCTCATTCCAACCTGTTGCAATCAGCTTTGGAGCGTCTATAGGGACACCCTGGTGCAGGGGCCCTGCGGAGGAAAGGAACTTTTACATTTCTGTTTGACTGGGCTCCTTGCCAAGGGCCAAGTTCAAAGTGCAGTTTCCAGTAATTTGCTGGGGCTTCTCTGTGGGTTTGATAGGCCAGGACAGAAGCCTGCAAGCCAAAGTAATATTTCCTGATTTTTGTCATTTCTTAAGAAGGGAAGAAAGATTGCTCAGGGCCTGGGGGGTGGGAGAACTTCGGCTGGCCCCAGGGAGCAGATTGGGCTTTTGTGCCTCCCGTGGTGTGCAGCCCTTTCTCCTCCATCCCACCCAGGGCCATCGGCCGCCCGGCACGGGGATGGACTCACAGGGGCTGCCTCCCAGAGCGAGCGGGAGGCACCCCTATGACACAGCCCGCGAAAGTCTCCACTGATTTACTGCGTGTTAAGCATTATTTGGAGCAATAAAGTTGTCGAGTAATGGCAATATGTTCTTGTTTTCTCATATCTGTAGGATGAAAGTGAACATTTTTATAATCCTTCGCTCCTCACCACATTTAGTTTCCCGGTGTCCCACATGTGGGCTTGATTAAATAGGAGCAAGAGCTACAGGAAGAAGTTAGATTGGACATTCCTCTCACTCGTCCGCATGCCCTGCGCAGGACACTGACACGGGCCGTCCTCCCCCGCCCCGTCCTGTGTGGCGCGTTAGACTCCGCACGCAATGTTTCAGACCGCATGTTGACTGGAGGTGGGATTCCCGATCACGCGGATGTGGGACGCAGCGGTGTTGTCTCCGTGTCGGGTCGGAAAGCTGCCGTCTTGATGCGATTCCTCTCACTGCCTACCACAAGCAGTTGTGTCCTAAAACACGTTTGCTTCGCTCCCGGGGTGGGTCACTTTTCACACGGGGAGCACCCGGCTGAGTCTTGAGGCGTCTGGAAAGTGGGGAGAAGATAGGAGCCACAGGCAAACTCACCAAGATTCCCCAAACGACCACAATGGTCCAGGCTGAAGCTGGGAACCAAGAATTCCATCTGGGTCTCCCACATGGGTGGCAAGAGCCCAAGTACTTAGGCCATCATCTGTCGCCTTCCCAGGATAGATTAGCAGGAAGCTGGAATAGAAGTGAAAAGCAGTCCCAATATGGGATGCAGGCATCCTGAGTGATTCAACCCACAGTGGCTTAACCTGCTGCGATGCCACAACTACTGCTTCTCACCAAGGTTCTTTAGCCCTGTCATCAAGTTTTCTGCAGACATCACTACCTCAAACATCTCTGTGTCCCGGAAAACAAAACCTGGCAGTACACAAGGGGGGGTGGTGTGTGAAAGGGTATGGAACTAGCCTGTGGGGGTTACTTCCTTCTGTTCCCCACAAAGTGCCTTCCCCCATTCCCTTAGTTCTCCTGCAATGCACCTCTTTTCATCTGCTAATTTGCCTCTGAAAGACTGACTGTATGCAGGCTCTTTCCTCTAGCCTGGAAACTGAATTATGGCAATTTAGCATTATAACATAATTCCACTGCAATAAAGCAATTTGGGGCTGCTGGTGGTGATGGAGTGGATGTTGGCAGGAGTGGGAAGCAGAGAATTTACTATAATGGAATTTTTCTGCATTTGTTTAAGAAATGCTAGCATAAAGCCGTGTTGGTATGAAATCTCACTTAAACATTTTTATCAGGGGATTGGTGCCATGGGAAACCATCTAAATATGTATCTATATGATGCCAGAGCAACTGGTTGAAGGTTTAAAGACAGGGGACTATTGGATGTGTGGACTTTTATTACATGAGTAATGGTTTGTGTCATTTTCCTCTCCTTGATTAAATTGGATTCTTAAAAGCTTAAATGAATGATTTGTTTTTATAGCGTGGAATGAAAAAGAGAGTCTCAAATATTTTAGTAGTTGGTAGTTACAAGTTAAAAAAAAAGTGACAAATTGTCCACGAAACCAGGTACCTTGCTAACTCTGTAGTTATGTCTCAGGGAAGGAGAGAGCAAGGAAAGAGATGATTTTCAGTATGCCCGTTGCCAAATGATGGCTCACTCGGTGGTGCAGTGAGATTGGGTAATTTAAATTCCTGAATGAAGACAGTTTTCCCATCGTCAGTTAGATCTACGAGGCAGGGCTTGGGTTTCCCAACACATATCTGATTTGAACACACCTCTGTTCGAAAGAGGCATCCATCTGCAAAACAACACTGGCCTTGATGTTGGCTGGAAGTCCACACTGCTCCCTACCGGATCCCAGGCATGCTTCAGACTTGGGGGGGGGGGTGCAACTGCACTGCATCTGCCTCCTGTGGCCCTAACGCTGGGCCTCAGGCAGATAATGCTGCCACCGGCAGTCTCAGCTGCTCAGGGGCCATCCTCAAGGTCCATCTGGGGCCCGAAGCTCTGAAATTTCATCCTGGGTGTGAGAGTCAGCCCCACATGGAGTGAATGAACTGGCCGCCTACCTTAGCATCGACACCTCAGGGTGATTCTGTTGTTTTTCTTACCAGCTTGGAGATGCGCCTGTAATTCTTGGCAAGTCACCAACATTTGGTTCCTTTGTGAAAAGTGGGCCTCCAAACAAAGTCACCTGCGCATTTGTGGGAGCTGACAAATGAGTCCCTAAGAAAATACAAGCGAGACAATTTGTTTATAGGACTTTCAATCCTGTGCGTTAACGTTTCATTAACTTATTGAGACCTAAAGAGTTGCTTAGGTTCTTGAAACATGCTTTCTGACGTATTATGGACGATGTTATATGCTAAGGTGACATTTGAGAATTTATATTCTTAAATGACCAGCTTGGGGGTCACACATTTGGTTTTTCTTTTTTGTTAAGCTCAGGATGTCTTGGAAAATATATTTTTTAAACTATCATGGTGTAGGAATTGATAAATATTTACGACGAACTTGGAGACTATCACCAGCCTATAATATTTGAATGAGCTGTGTTGAAATGAATGACATAAACAAAGTATTTGTCGTGTCCCCAAACTGCAAGAAGCAGCTGCCGAAATGAAGGGGTCGGCCTTGCCTTGAAAATCTCAGAAAGGAAAAGCATTGGAAGGCAATTAGTCACACTGCAAAAGCGTTCCTCCCTGGAGGAGGGTGCTGGCTGCAGGTTCTGCTTCAGGTATGGGTGGCGTTTCTTGGGGTTTTAATTGAGGCCGTTCTGCCAAGTGCCAACCACAGCTTTTCACCCCACATCTGCCTCTTCTTTTGCTCCTGGACTCCTTTCTTCCAATTCAGTGATCTCAAAGCCAACATAACAGTGGAGTGGGAAGCAGGAAGGCACTAAAATGTAGGAACTGTCTTCCCTGTTTTACCTACTTCTCCCGTTTCCTGCTCACGACGCACCCTGGGGGGAGGCGCTGAGTTGTGCAGCTGCAGCTCAGAAATCTGCAGTAACTGCTCCCAGTCCCACAGCAGGCAGGTCGAGGGATTTCCATCCAGGTGTGTGCAGCTGTGAGGACAGAGCTCTGGCCGCTCCCCGGCAGCCTCCAGCCCGGAGGGATTTGGTGAAGGGCATTTAGTTGCCTTGATTCGCTTCCCCTAGAGGTCTGATCACATTGTCTCCTGGACAGTGAGTTTCCCTGAGGCACTGGAAAAAAAAATTGGTCAAATTAAGGAATGTGCACGCTGCATAAAGCAAGGAGCGTTTCTTTGTTTCTCTGTGTCTGTGAGTGCTGGGTACAAGCGTCGTAATTGTGGTAAATGCATGTCCAGGAAAGCTACTCTTTTAATGCCTGGCACCTTACTTATTTTCAAAATAACCCTCAGATATCTTAGCCAAAAAAGTCGTACATCTAGGCTGTAATTTTTAATTTATCACTATGCTATCCTTGTGAAAACTTTCAACTCAGTGTCTTGTCTCCTTCCCTCCACCCCCTCACCCCAATAAGTTTAATACCCGCCATTACCTGAACTCTGGATGGAAATAGCAGGTCATTATGATGTCTGTATTAACATCCAAAACACACTGGTTTTCTTCCAGGATTCCCATATCTATTATTGTTAAAACATATAACTTTTAAAACTCAAATGGTTTTCCCCAGCCAATTCTCTAATCACAGACATAAATTTCACTCCATTAAGGAAAGGAAACCAGGCAGTATGACTAAAGTTAGGAATATGATCAAATTTCAAGGGAGGGGGGAAAAAAAAGATTAGGCTTGGAATTCTTTCCATTGCTTTTGCTTGTGGAATACGGTTACACTGAAACCCTGCTCTCTTGCACACACGAAGCGTGCAGCCGTATACAGGGAGAGGTTACATGGAGGTGGGAGGCTGGCATCCCCTCCTGCAGATGAGGCAGGGCTTTCTACAGAGACAAGGTGTCCACCCACTGCCCCACGTGTCCTCAGAGTGGCTGCAGAGGTGGTGGGACTGGTGAGAGGCAGTGCGCCGCGCTCTCCTTTCTCTACCTTGAGGGTGGTTGGAAGTTATTCCATTTGCAATTTCTCCCATAAAATTCTTGTTGCATATTTATGAGTTCTCTAAGTAATGACAGTTCCTGAGAACCTGTGATAACCAGGCGGCCCCTTAAGGGAGGGTAGGAGATGTGTGGGGAGTCTGACCCCATAGGCTACGGTTGGGAGATTTGGTGGCATTCTTTTGATTGCCACTCCTGAACATACTTCAGCTCCTCAAGGGCTGTTTTTTTTTTTTTTTTAATGTTTATCAAGATTTATCTTTAGGGGAGTCTCTTTCGACCTATGAGACATGCCTTTTTTCTGTGTCTTAAAAATTAGTTGCATTTAACTCTCTTTTAAAAATGTTCACTCTTCTGAGATCTGTGTTAAGAATTCGAGACAAGACAACCCTTCCTCCTCCTTACCAACAGACAAGGGCATGCGTTTCTGAGAGTGTTCCGCAAGATGCGCATTTTTGTTTCATAGAAATACATGGGTGCATTATGTGCTTACATAATATAATTTTCCATGTTTACCTTATAGCAGATGTATATTTATATATGTTGCAATTAAAATAGGTCAGTTAAATGGGGTGGGCATTGGCCTATTGGTTAAGATGCCACTCGGGATAACTGTGTTCCACATTGGAGTGCAGGGTTCATGTTCTGACTCAAGTATTGATTCCCTATTCCTACTGATGTGTACCCAGGGAGGCACCAGATGATGGCTGGGGTGTCTGGACTTTCACATTATGCTCTGTTAACTCTGTGTGTATGACTTACCATTATCTCCTCTTTTTCTTGTTGCTCATTTGTTCACTCATTGGTTGACTGAATCATTCATTTGTTGTCTTGTCCCACCAGACTGTGAGCTCTGTGGAAACGAGGACCCTGTCCGTCTCCCTCCCCATGGGAACTTCAGCATCTGGAATGGTCCCTGGCACCACATTGGCACTAAATATTTATTGAATGCAAGAAATAAAACATGCAGGCCTTAGGATGTGTGTCCAGGGTTGTTTAGTGTAACATTCGTGTAACAACAAAACTACTGTATAAAAGAAAATGCCTGTCAGGGGTGGGTAGGGAGTTCTGCCATCCTGGGCTAGGCAGTGTGGTATAGGGAGCTTGGCATGGTTCTGGCATTAGACTTCGGGATTCACCTTGATTGTCTAAGGAGCAGCCCTGGGAAAGATATGCAGGTCCCGAGTCTTAGTTTTCTTATCCTTAAGATGCAGACAGTAATGGTACAAGTCTAGGGGCTCGCACTGTGACACAGCAAGCTAGGCTGCCACCTGCAATGCTGTTATCCTATGTAGGAGCGCTGGTTCAAGTCCTGGTTGTTATGCTTCAATCCAGCTCTCTGCTCTGGCCTGGGAAAGCAGCAGAAGATGGCCCAAGTGCTTGGGCCCCTGCCACTCATGTGGGAGACTCAGATGGAGTTCCTGGCTTCTAGTTTTGGCTGGGCCCAGCCCCAACCCTTGCGGCCATTAGGGGAGTGGATCAGTGGCTGGACAATCTCTCGCTCTCTCTTTCTGTTTCCCCTTTCAAATAAATAAATAAACCTTAAAAATTACTGATGCTAGTCTAGAATTTGTGAGAATTAAGTGAATTCATATAGGCAACATATCTTAGGACTGTGCCTGGAACATAATAAGTGCCTAATAAATATCAGTTACTATTATTTCAAGAAACGGTAAAGGCAATGGCTCAATTTTAACTTGGAGGTATTTCCATGAAGTATAATCAATTTCCATGATGTATGATTTGGAGGAATACATAGAATGGATACTAGTGTTGCAAATCTAACAATGATAATAAAAATCCTTCCTATGGGGGAGTGCATTGTGGTGCTACAGCAAGTTAAGTCATAGCTTGAAAATGCCTAGGACTGGGTCCCAACTTCACTTCCAATCTAGCGTCCTATTAATGTGCTTGGGAGGCAGCAGATGTTGGCCCAAGTACTTGGGTTCTTGCCACTCACGTGGGAGACCCAGATAGAGTTCCCTGCTCTTGGCTTTGACTTGACGTAGCTCTGGCTGTTGCAGGCGTTTGGGAAGTTAGCCCTCAGAAAAGTTTTCTCTGTCTCTCTGTGTCTGTCTTTCCCTCTTTCAGATAAATAAATAAATTCATTAGTTAGAGGAAATTTCTCCATAGGTACGAGCTTAGGATGCCTATAAGAGGGTAAAATCATAGAAGATGTGTGCTGGGTGTGTGAAGCTGGCTGTGTGAAGGGCACCACGGAGGGCTAACAAAGGAGAAAGGAGGTTGAAAAACAGCACAATAAATAATACAATACTCCCATTAGCAACACAACGCCAATAGAGTGATGAAAATGACAAAATGTATGCATGTGTCTCTACACAAGAAGAGAGGTACAAAGAGGGTCTCTACGATATCAGGGGTGGTGGTGTTAGAGGGGTTGGTATTCTGATCCTTGCATTTGGTGCATTTGAATTTCTGACAATAAGCATGTCTTATTTTGATAATCAGGAAAAGCATTAAAATATGTTTACTATGGGAGGAAAAGAGAAAAGCAATGCTTTCCTATTTTTGTAACTCTTGTGTCAAAGGAAGAGAAGCTGGACACGTCTTTTCCGGGGATTTCAGGCCTGCAGAGCCCATAGACCAAATCTGGAAGGAGCACGTGGCCACATGCTCCGAGAACAAGGCAGACTCTGGTGTGTGGCCACTCACTCACCTGACACCTCAGTCTACTCTTTCGAAAGCTGAAGGCTAGCCTGAGGCGCTTTATGAACCCACGGTGCTGGAGGCACAGGCAAATGGACCCTGCAGTTCTTGCAAACGGAGAGAAGGGAGCCACGGACACACACATCTGCAGACACTGCAGTCATCGGAGCCTGCAGCGACCCCACATCCTGGAAGTTCTCGTAACATAGCACTTTCCGCAGGCCACAACTTCGTCCGGAAGCCCTGTCCCTGCACATCACTTGGAAGATAAAGTTTAAGCTGCTCTTTAAGACTCTCAGTACCTTCTCCAGCTGTCTCTCCCGCAGGGTCTCTGCGTCAGTCGGTGTCTACCTCTGAATGGCTACCTAATGTCTCTTGACCTTATTCACGTCCGTCTTCCTCCTCTCCGTGTCCCGAGGCTCTCACTCATCCCGAAGCCTTGGCGCAAGACCGTCTTCTTGGAAAGCGTCTTTGAAGTGTCGTGGTCCTCGGGGACTTCTCTGCCCACCCTGCACCTGTGCTCTTCTCCTGAGCTCATCGTTGGGTACTGCGCTCCCGCCCAGAGCTCTCCCCATGTGCCTCCTTAAACTGGCATCCATGTTCACATGCACCTGTGGCTCCCTCCATTCTTCAACAGGCAGGCTCCTTGGACATGAGTCTCATGCCCTTTCTGTCCTTGTATTTCCGTAGTTCCTAACATGTGGCCGTTGGTAGAGTTGGCATGCAAAAAATATTTGATTGATTGATAGATATTTATTGACATTTTCTTGGAAACCAACAGGATGTTGTCATCTTATAATTAATGTATGTGTTGGAGCCCTTATGTAGAAACCAATTTCTTTGTATATAAGTTTATCTCGGTAGATAAGACTACCCTGCCTAAACATTGAAAACGCGCCAAGAGCCTTCCAAATCCTTAACCATGTGTGTGCCTTCAGTAATATGAATCTGCATTTGCCATAACCAGGGTAAATTAAAACTGAAACTTGGGGCCGGCACTGTGGTGTAGTGGGTAAAGCTGCCACCTACAGTGCCAGCGTCCTATATGGGCGCCGGTTCGAGTCCTGGCTGCTCCACTTCCGATCCGGCTCTCTGCTGTGGCCTGGGAAAGCAGTAGAAGATGGCCCAAGTCCTTGGGCCCCTGCACTCATGTGGGAAACTCAGAAGAAACTCCCGGATCCTGGCTTCGGATCGGCGCAGCTCTGGCTGTTGCAGCCAATAGGGGAGTGAACCAGTGGATGGAAGACCTCTCTCTCTCTGTTTCTCCTTCTCTCTGTGTAACTCTGACTTTCAAATAAATAAATAGATATTTTTTTAAAAAAGATTCTGACTATATAAAAAAACCTGAGATTAAATGAGAGACATTTACTTTTTTGAGAATTGAAAACAGTGAAGTATTAACAGGGGTAATAGTAATTAATATTTATATGACTTTTATTGTTAGGTAGTTTGTCTAAATACTTTACATATATTAACTTCTTTAATCCTTGAAATAATGCTAT